CAGAGTCTTCACCTCAGTCCCATTCCCATGCTAGGAGAACTGCAAAGAGCAAGTTATCCATCGTAAAAGCAAGGAGTGAAGGCTGCTATTTAAGTTTACATCAGCATCCCTCAGACCAGCTGATATCACTACCCAACAAGGAAAACAAAGTCCACAAGAATAAAGGAGCCAGCTAGTGACAGTTCCTAGAAGGAATTTCAGGCCAATCCTTGTGGCTGGGACAGAAGAAGAAATGAACACAGCAGGTACTTGAGGTTCAATGCAAATGAGGGCTAAGGATTAAATCTGATGGATGCTGCCATTTACTCTCTTCAGGTTTTGGGGCTCCAGGTAAACTGTGACCATTAGTGGCAGCTGTCCTTCTACTGCTTTGAAAAGATACAGTTCCATGAGATACCTGCCAAGAGTTCTGCCCACACCAAACAGTGACAGTGTCACAACATTCCCAGTATCTTCGTCTAGGTTTAGGTAACCATATTTCCAAAGCAAACTCTTTTCAAATACCTTTTAGTGTCACAAAAATGCCATCCAAGAGCATTTGTATTGTAACAGAAGGAGATGGAGTGAATTTTGGGGAGAAACATGACATTTCCAAGAGCTGATTATTCCTCGTTCCCCATAAATCATTTATTTTCTGCCCAGGTGCACAAAGGCAGAAGAGCACCAAAGAGTCTCAGGCTTCATCTTTGAAGGCATCCTAGTGGAAGGCTTGGAGACAACACGGCAAACTTATCTTATTACCCCCACCACTGATGTCTGTGCTGCGTTTTTGATATCCAAAGTCTGTATCACAGAAAGCCCTGGAGCCTGTTGCAGTATAATTAATGTGATAGGAAATCTTGTACTGGAGCACAGCCAGGATTTTCATCACACTCAAGCCTCACTCAGTAACCACTGGACTTTCCATTCCTCCCTCAGCCACCCACCTTATTTGTCTTTGCTTCCCAGTTCCTCTGAAGCACCTTTTAAACCCTATTGACATGATTCTTAACTATAGTAGCATGCAGGATCTACGAAGGACTCTCTGTCTGGAGCAAATTCCTTGCCTGCTGGCTTGTCTCTAGCCTAAATCAAGGTTCTCTTATCCTTGCATATGACACTAGCTCATGTAGCCTTGAAACCTCTCACTTCCCTATTCCCTTCAGATATTTTTATACTTAAAGTGGTTCCTCCTTACTCACCCCTGTCCTTTTCCTCCCAAGTCTGGCTTTCCACATAAAACTCTTCCAGCTTTTCTGAACAGGGGGAAATCTCCCAAGACCCTGTATTATTCTGGTTATCCTATACTTTTCCCTGTTCTCTGGATCTCTCTCGGATAATAAGCTGCATACACTGTATATTACAGCTGTAGAAAGAAGGGGGATTTATACATATGGCTTCTTCTACGTGTAATACACAGGCCTGGATCCTCTCCCAACATCTGCTCTTAGTCTGGACAAAGGGAGTAAAAGATGTTACAAGGTTTGTAGCTTGTGTAAGAAAGATCTCATGAAGAATTGCAATAGCATACTCCTAGCCCAGGGGAAATGGGTATGGACAGCCTCTTGGAACGAGGTGTAGCCTTGACAGGGATGCTTCATCTTGCAACACTAGCTTTTTCACCGCACTCCTTACCAGTATATAGCAAATAGCATTTGTATTGCTTCCTACAACACTACAGTGTTGGACAGATGGAAATATCTGTAGCCTATAACAGATAGGATTAGTAAAGAGGCTTGCCACATCCGTACAATAGATGGACAGCAGAGTGAAGAGGAGAAGCTGGTGTATTCCTTTCTGGGGTTACACGCTTACTTATCTGAATGTTTTCTTATTCTTTTGGGAAAACACAAACTACTGCTTTTGCTCTGTTTCTGCCTGCTGCTCACCAAAGGGTTACACCAAGCTGTCACCCCAGGCAGTGTGCTGGTTCACTTCATCCCAAATCTGTGCCCATAGGGAAATGTAAACAACCCCTTGCTGGTAGTTTTGCTTTAACCTGACTCGGCTCTAGAGTAACACAACCCCTTTCATTAATTATACTTCCCTGGCCCCAGATTTAAAGGATTGCTATTCCTTATTGGAACACAAACCTACCTGTGGATTTTCTCGCTCTCCATGTAAGGCCCGTTACTTACATAAACTCAAAGGACTGTTGGGCTTTATATCCCTGGCTTGGGCATGATCATATTTTGTGTAAGTTCCTGAAGTTTGTTAGTCAACTTGCTTTTCACACGTGACAACACCACAATATCCACTATAAAGCCACAAGTTTCACAACATCTAGACCCCAAAAAGGCTTAGATGCCCAGCTCTCATGGGAATCCTGAATGTCAGCCCTCATGCATCTCAGGTGGGGTGCCCAAAAGCCAGGGTTACTCTAAATCTGTAGCTGGAAGTCTGGATAACCATCTAATTCTATTGGAGCTTTATCTGTCTTTGGCATGCCCAGATATGTTCTCTTTGGCCCATACTTTGGTCCTCATGGGATTTCAATGCTTCAGGCACTCTGTCAGCATTTCAGCTTCTTGGAGCAGTATCTGTGGTTGGACCTGCATGAAGAGTCCAAGCAAACCCTACTCAAATAGTAAATCTGAGACGTCTGAGGTGCACTGATATTCCTGGGTGGGAAAATGGAAGTTCTCCCCCTGCAATGTGGCTGTGCAGGAGGAAAAACAAGGACAGCAGGACTTCTTTTATAACTGCTATAGATCTTTCAACCAATCCTTTCTCAGCCAAGCTTCAGGTATTTGGTAACAGAGTATAATGGCCAAGAAGGCTGTTTTCTGTCTTGAATGGATAAAAGGTCCCCATCTGCAAAAGGGACACAGCACTACAAGTCTCTTCCTCTCCTCACCATTCACTGTCTTTACTCAAGCACTTCACAGAACAAACTAGCTAAGACCTTAGTGCAATGGCTTCATCTGGGGTCCTGTAGGAGTGGCAAATAAGAAACAGTAAGAGAGGAGCTGTTTGTTCCAACAAATGGAGAACAAAAGACGAGATGTTCTAATTTGGATGAATTTGGAGTAACACTCACCCCGTGCTGTGGCCCACTTGACTTGAAGAGAGCTGTGCAGCACACGCATGACACAGCTGGGTTCTGGGTTGGGAAGCCTGGTCCTGCGAAAACAAGTTTGGCAGTGGATATTAGCAGCAGAATCTCACTGGTTGGTACAAGCTGTGAGCTCCTCTTAGACTATTATTCCATTATGGAAAAACACATCTCTTGGAAACCCCCTCCCTGTTCTCCTGCAACTTTCCTTCTTGTGTTCCCAGCAGTATTTAGGAAGGCATGGCTTTCCAAGGAGAAGCATGGCCAGATGGTGTGGTGTTTTGCTAATAAAAAAGGAAACTGGGGATGCGTTTGTGTCCCCTCAAAACAACTCTAAATGCGGATTTTGAGATGCAGCATTAAAGGAAAGGCTGAGGGCGTGGATTGCTTTCTAAGTGATATCTACCCAGTCACACATATGACAGACACTTATCCTTTTCATTGCTTGTTGTCTGCTCAAGCCGCACAACAGTGTCATTGTTCAGATGGCAACTTCACAGCAAAAAGGCGATGGGCACATCCCTCAGCTGGAATTGGCTGCAGTTCAGATTTCAAAGCCCACAGCAAGGTTTTTTTTCACTGCAGCTTCCCTTCTGGGAGCATGCTGACAAGCTGAATGGCTTACCCTCAAATGTGCCAGCCTGTAATACAATCACCAGTCACCCAGGATCTTCTCCAGACCAGACAAAGGTACTGCAAGGGCAGGCAAAACAGATGCCCTGCAAATACCAGAAATGATGTGGTGTTTACTAGGACTCTCAGCCTTGTTCCTGCCACTCGCCTGGACCAGCTCCAGGCGTTCAAGGTTCACACTGGACTGACTCCACATTAAACGACAGTGTAATAATTTATGTGTGTCTCCATGCTTTGGTTTTAAAGCCTGCAATTGAAAGGACGCAGGGACATGGTAATTTCCTTGCTGAATCCGACCTGTGGGCCCATTAATGCAGGATCCTATTCATTACGCTGCTGAGTGGATAGTTGACAACATAGTTCTCTCTGCTCTGGTATTTGGGAAATGGTTGCTTTAAGAAGGATGGCAAAGGAAACCTGAATAGCCTGGAGTAAATAAAGAAAACCTTGTTGAGAGAAACAGGGAACTCCTTCTGCAATACTACTGCTAGAGTATTTGTACACCATGCACAGCTCAGCCTCTGTGTGTAACTGCACGGTTGGGGTGAGGAAAAGAAAGGAAGTTCCAGCTCGTGCACAGTTTTGTACTTCTATTAGCTACTTATGTTTTGCTTTGGAGAAAGCCCCCCAAAATCTCATTATTCCCCCCACAGTTTCATTTTGGACGCACTGAAATACATTGGAAATGCCTTAAATACAACTAAGCACAACTAGAACAAGAAGCAAAAACCAAAAAGTCATTTGGAGAGAAAAAGAACACCTAAATATAACCCATGTCTTCAACTCGATCAGCCTCTCCTCCATTATTCCTCTGAAGACAAAAAAAGAGCCAAATCATTGTGATTTCCTCAACAATTTCAGTTTTGCCAAGCTGACATTTTCCAATGGGAATAAGACTATCAAAATATTTCTGACCAAAATGTGCACCATAGTTACTAGAGAGCATCTGTGTGAGCTGCCATAATTAGGATGAGGTTTAAGAAATAACTATGGTGCTGTGAGGGAATTCAATGCTTGGACGTGGAGTATAAGAGCATGTGATTCCGATTCCTACCTCTGTGTTTTCACCTTCAGCTTTCAAGTTGTTGGCTAGACAAATACTATCGTCAGCCAAAAGACTGAGCTTAGTACAGAGGAAACATATGTATCCGACAGCATCTGCCATGAAACTTGGGTCTTATTCTGTCTTGTTTAGCTGTTTTCTCTTAAACAGTCATCATAATGGAAGTAAATGTATCCTTAGCTCATCAGCACAAAGATGACAAGACATGAAGGACATTTATCTTGTCTAGATACCATTTAAACTATAAATGTGACCAGAAATTCTTCTTACCAGCTCAGGAGAATCCATGCTGGGGAGGATTTTCAGTGCTAACAGCTCTTGCCTACATGAAGAACACTGCAGAAGTACTTTCTCCAGGCATCATGATAACCCAGCTGCCAACATCAACCAGTCTGAGGACTCTGAGAAGGGAATGAACAAACGTGTAAGCGTTCATGCTGGATGGTGGGCTCTGGGACACCTGAAAAGTGGTGCTGGCCAGTGCCCTGCCTTTAGCAGGAGCTTCTCCACACAGTGTTTCTTCTACAGCTATTTTCCTACCAGTGGCAAGCTATTCCCTATGAGTGGCAAGCTATTCCTGGCCTACAGCAGCAGTGAATTGGTTCCTCCCTCCTGTCCCTGCACTGGCTCAGCTTCTTGGACAGAAAGCAGAGGTATATTGCTGACTTCTGTCTCTCTTAACCCTTTTCCCACCCAGAAGCTCTTTATAAGCATTCCCACCTGCTCCTCCACACTCAGATATAAGGTTGAGATAACATCTGGAGGAGCACACTTCTTACTCCCAGCTCCCCAGAGTAGGTGCTTTGCTTTGCTGCTCCTGGAGCACAGGGAGATGTTAACGTGTAGAATTCCCACCTCCCCCAGTACATTCAGTTCTAAATTGTCCCAGTCCTTTCAATCCTCTTCAAGCATTCAGTTTTGGCCCCATTTACAGCCAGCTCTTTCCCTGAATCCACTCAGCTGGTCTGTTCCTATGAGTTACCTCGACACCGTGAGCGCAACTGGATGACACGTCTCTCTGCTGGCTGGCAATGGCTTTTATACATGACTGAGGGTTAGGAAGGTTCTTATCTGCACACTTCAAAGAGCCTCCTCCCATTTGACAACTTGGTGCCTCCCCTGGATGATTTGAAAATCTTATTCTCCACAGTTCTAAGCCTTTTGATCTTTATAAAAGCCAGGTCACAGAACAGCTCATACCCTATGTCTTGATGGATGCCATAAACCCTGAGCCATGGCCTCATTGGGCCTCAGAACCTCTAATCTTGTAGAGTATCTTTATGAGTATTTTCTTTGAAGGGCCACAATCTAACTTAAAATCTTGTATCAAACTCACAAACATCATTATTGTGCCTGCAATTTATATTAGGAAAAGAGAAATATAATCCACCATCTACTACTTTTTCTCCTACCAGTCCAACCTTTAGGTCATTCACATTGACATCCTCTCCAGCATAAAAGCAGATGAAGGAGTTTGCAGCCAGTTTTGCTCTCTGGGCAGTGCTGCACATGCCAGTACCACCAACACTGCATCGCAAACATCACAGGCCAGTATTTTAATCTAAATAAAGATAGTGCCTGTTCCTGTGTCTTTGAAATAAATGCACGAGTCTGTTTCTTTTAGTATCATTTGATAAAGGCTGTTTAAAGTGCAGGGCATAAGCTCACTGAGGATGTAAGAAACTTATAGTAAGAAAAATTCTTACATTTAATGAACTGAGAAGATCAAAAGCAGAATGAGAAGGATTTATTTCTACACACTATCACTGCATCTTCTTCTGTCTATGTGTCACTACTGCTGAAAGGGCTTTTCATCACCTTGCTATCTTAGGGCCTGATCTCCATCCGTAGCACTGAACACCACCGAGTGCTGAGGGCCCTCACAACTTCACTGGTGACATTTGGAGCAAAGAATGCTCCTCAGCCCTCAACTAATTTCATCTCTGCCAGGTCTGGCCCCGGTGTCAGGGATACTGTCTGCAGCTATCACCAAAATGATCTTTCTGCATTTACTAAAGGCAGCCAGGACGCAGAGAAAGAGGCATCATATCCTGAACACGAGACATCGAATGGTTCCCGAGTTGAGGAATTTGCGTGGCACGCTGAAGGAATGAAATGAGGTATGAAATGAGGCTTACAAGATCTCAACCAAGAGATGGGTCTGTCACCAAAGTCGTATTTCCGCTAACTCTGGAAGAACTAAGAAAGAAGCTCTTTTGCTTTCCCAGCTTTGTTATCAGTGGATTCCTGCATAGACAGAATAAAGACAGAAATAGTGTGGAGATGAAGGAAAGCAAACAAATACCCCTCTTTCACTGGATATGCCACCCATGCAAGATGTGCAGGTACTTCAGCCTTGCTCTTGTCTGCTAGAAGAGGAAGATCGAGCTATGCCTCCCTTTCTCCCCAGAAGAACAGTGGACCATGGAAACTCATGGGATTTTACCATTTAAGTCGAGCACAACACACGTCTTCCTTTACAAAGCATGTCATGGAGCGAGTTCCCTCCTTCCCCCTCAATCAATACTTGTACAAGGACACAAGGGTTGATTCAGTTTATATGGTGACATTTCACATTTCACGGACTATTCCCCATCCCTCATCCACAAAAGTGACAACAAGCAAGTACATCCCAAGTCATAGGGGAAAAGATGATGAATACAAAAGGAATCTATTGGAATTATTTTGCATTACAAAATAAGGGAGAAATATTTCCAGTATCATTAAATTTCTCATTTGTCCAGGGCATTTGTCCAGACCAAAAGAATCACATCAAGGAAAACAACAACCAAAACTCAACACAAGATTGAATAGGAAGAGAAGAAGGAAAGCCTGGTAAAATTAACAGTACCTAAGAATTAAGATTACCCAAGATGTTGAGTTTGACAGTTTCCTTTTCTTCCCTTTTAAAGGGTAGGTCAAGGCAAGTAATGCAATTTTATACACAGCAAAGACAGGCAAAGGAAATAAAGAAAAAATCAAAGGGAAGTTAAAAATCAGAGGGTCTATGGGATGACAGTAGAAAAAAACATGGAAAGGGTTGGAGCTGTCAGAGACATGAAGGCACCTGGTACAACCTTCATCGATAAAGGCTCAGATCCGTATCATCAGGAGACAGCTCCGCAGGTCCGAGGCCTGATTTATGACTTTCAGATTGCCAGCTGTGACATAATTCACTGGGCAGCAAGGCTGAGGTCAATATACGTTTAAGTAAAAAGGGTTTTTGTAAGCCTGTGGGGTCAATCAGGAAAAACTGTCATTACTGGATGGGAGGCAAGAGGGGAGAGCGAACGGGCTGGCAGGGAGAGGAGAAGTGACCAAGCAGTCAATTCCCGTTAAGTAACTAAGGCTGTTTTATTGCTAAACAGCAGTCTAGCAACAAAGCCCATCCTGGAGCATGTGAGCCAAAGGATCTCCCCCTTTGGAAAGAAGCATCCCATCCCCTCTTCACCTACATCAACCTCCAAGATTCAGCAAGGACTCAGATTCCAATCCTTCTTTCAGAGACAGAAAATCCACAACTGAAAAGACTTAAACCACCTGAGCCGAGTCCAGTTCAAGCAATCTAAGGGCCCTGTGTCAAAAGCATCCTGCATCATGGCTTCAGCACCCTGTCCAACTTGAAAGGTAAGGCCTTCCAGAAGTTCCCAGTTTTATTTACACCTATCTTGTGGGTGTTATGATGTCCTTTACTGCAAGACAAAATCCTTCTACATAGCAACCATCTATGTATTTATAGTTCAGTTGCAAGATTCCTTGGGGAGTGTTCTAGGGAAAAAATTCTGGCATCTCAACCAACTGACATAGACTGTTATGTCCACCCCTCAAAGGATAACACTGTCTGGTGTAGACAGGGTTAATGAAATGCTCCCTAGCCAAGTCTGAAACCTTCGATGCACATTTCTGACCCAAGCCAGGCCTGTATACAAGGGAAGACAACTGGTCTCTGTGCTCACTCCCTGCTCCCTCCAAACTGGCTCTACTAGCTCATGTTCCAAATGCCAAGATGAGACCTTGGTGATGAAAGCTGGATTTAGAAGACTGAACTGGAGTTTCTCCTCTTCCGCCTGCGCTATCCTAAAGCAGCTGAATCCTTTGCTTAACGTGCAAAACTTCAACAGAAATAGGGCAAGGAATACAGAGGCAAAAGTGTCCTGTTTTAGCAAGGAAGGTGGGAAAGGCTGCCAAAGTTAATTTGACAGCTTTTACTACTTGTATGGAAACACAAAATCGCGAGAAGTTTGAGAAACAAAAGCTAATCCATCTGAAAGTGTTCATGGCATGACTACAAACAGAGAAAGTAACTACAGAAATCCATCTTCTTGTAGACTGCCCACAGATAGGCCTGGTAGCTGGAACACAGGCTCTGAGTAAGCTCTAGCTGGCTGCCTACACAAAAAAGCCTGGGAAGCTGCTCTCTGGCCAAGCAGGCTTGGAAAGTAGTGTTACTCACCAAGAGTGTACCAGAGCAGTTCCAGAGAGCATGGACGTGGCCATCCGGTCCAGCTTGGTTTGGCACAAGAAGGTGGCTGCATAAACAGTGGTCAGAATGAGATCCAAACCCAAGAGCACTGAAGCCACAAAGTGAAGATGGCATGAGACAAGAGACAGGCCGCCTCGGACAACTAACTGAGACAGGACATAGCAAGTTTAGGTTTGCTTTCTAGGTGCAGGCCATGACTGCTGACAGGGCTGGTGTGTCCAAAGCAGGCTCTTAAGAGGAAGCTCAGGTTTCACCCATGAGCAGAAACGTGTATTCTGACTTCTCAATTCAATGCAAGACCTCACTGACTCACCGCATAAGCTGGTTACTGCGCACGCAGGGATACTTTCCCTCCAGCAAACTTCCTTATGTTGGCATTAATTTCTTTGCCTTCTTTGGCTGCTTGAATTCATTCTCTTTAAAGCACAGAACTGACTTATCTTTCCATACTCGGAATGTGCTCTGCTGTGTGCAGGATGGACTTTGGCATGCCAAGAGCATCCTCCAGAAACCCCCTTGCTGCCCACCTCCTTTGCAGTTGCCTGCTGGGGCACTTGTGATTCTGTTCCAGGAAGCTGGGTCATCTCTGTAACAAATCAGTGTGGAAAGAAGACTTTTATAGAACCATTAGGCTTCTTAAAGAAATAGATCACAGCACATCCATTTCAGACATAAGAAACAGGTATGAGCTGTTGGTTCAGGCCTCTGCTTTGAATAACTGAAACGTAAAGTAGCAAACGGGGGTTAGAAGCATTTGCTTTCAGCGTGGGACTCGGGAAGCTCTTGCATATCCATGATGATCAGATATGTCTCCCATCCTGCTGTTACTGAGCATTTAGGCCAGGCTTTAAGAACCTCAGTTGTAAGGTGCACACAAGATGTGAGTATTTTCCTCATCATTATTGCAGGGGCCGTAAG